GATCACCCTGCCCATGGAACACCTTCCTCCATAAATTTTCACACATTTGTGCAGTGGTTATATGAAAGTCAAACATGGCTGTGACATTGCAGGGACGATTTATGGGCAGAAAGCAAAAATATTGCTTGGCAGGAAAAACAAGTGGCCTTTTCCGTCTTCTGTGAATGCATTGTAGTGTGCAAGCATGCAAAGCCTCCATTTGCCTGGTCCCGGTCTTGCTTGCCGATATGCACTAAAACATTCCGTGTGCTTTATGAACTGAATTTATCATGAACGCGCGTTTTCCTTTAAACTTCATCAGAGGTTCCCGAAATAGAGCAGGAATGCTGGAATTTTCATGTCTAAATAATGAAGCATGCGCAAAGAATAAGGACCGGAGTGGTATGACCCACATCCGTCCATGTTGGGTCCAAAATCTGCAAATTAATTGCTACGGAAAGGTCTGTAATTTCCTGTTCAAAAGGCGTCAAAGAAGTGGGAATGATAGGTCTCAACCCTACATATATGACACTCACACGTGTCCGCTCTGCTGTGAACAAACATTTTAGGCACGGCCTGATAATTTAGGGACTCGGAAAACAACTATTTTTTAGTTTATTTCGAGACCCGTCCTCAGGAGTGTCCGCAAGCAAGCGCCACCTTCAATCGATTTTTTCTCTGGCTTTTTTCCGAGGAATAACGCCATTACTATTACCTTATCTATGTTAATAATGTTCCTCGCAAATGCACTTAACAAATTACATGATACAAAATCAACACAACGTATGACCCAGTGAGCCACACTGACCTGGTTCACTCGCAAAACAAGATCGACATAATAACAATTCAATGCTCCCAACTCGGCAAACCACTTTGGGTCTACCAGAATGGCCACACAAAAAATAATTCTTTTGGAAATCCCTACGCAGATGTTCCAAAATGTTTTGTGTTTTGCATCAGTTCGGCTGAGTCTCTCCAGCTTTTCACCTAGATAATTTAATAAAAACATAGCGTAACAGAAGGTAATAAGCGTTTTATTGGCACCAATTAGATGTCGTTTGATGACAATCAAAGGTAAAAAAACAAAACAGTGCATTGGTTTTGCGTCTGCATGATATGAACAGCAAAGCATGCCACATTGCTCACCCATTGCGTGCCGAACAGGACATTGTAAACGCTATAATAAGCTTTTTCCGCGAATCACAGTCTTCATACTCCTGGCTCCCGTAAATCGATAATCATCCAGCAAAATTTGTCTGCCACATAGTGAAAGAGTCATATTGTCATTGAAGCCTTACGACACACTCAGCTGCTAAGGCTATATGGCGTCGCGTGCCTCTCACCCCGGCAGGAATGGCGGGCATCGCGAGGAATCGAACCTAGTGCCTCTAGTTTCCCTGCCGCGCAGCGGTTGACGCAGGCGCATTAAGCACTACTCGACCAGCAGCCTACACCTAAGAGCGAAACTGGCGTACTGCACTGGAAAAATAAAATGGGCAAAATTACTATATAAACACATTTAATGAATTCAGCAATCCATTATTAGCTTTCTTGTGATGGCCAGAGCAAAATATAGCAATGTTTTAAGTTTCTACACTCATGTTACCAGCGCTAGCCGGACGGGCGACGGGGCCGAAGGGTCATAAAGGCTCACACAGCAGACGCACGACGGGCGTGACCGGCCTGCGTCGACGCGGTCACCGAGGGACGACTGCTTCCTGTGGGAAAGGGGCTGGAAAACGCCGGTGCAGGCGAGGCACGGAAGGGCAGACGGTCGCACCTCGCCTCTGCTGCACGCAACCATCTATGACGCACGCGGCGGCAATGTCCTGGTGTCGTGTCAGTGTTGCATGCTGGGAGGTAGAATCGCTTTTGAACTAGGGTGGGAATGAAAAATTACATCGCAAAAAGGCCGTGCGGGAGTGAAAAAATCAATTCACAGAAGACGGAACTTCTGAGCTCGTGACTGATGCTTCAGCAAACAAAGACATCTATTTCAAGTTGGCATGGACGTAATATCGGAAACCTGACAAAACTGTTTTGTTTTTTAACATCTTAGGCCATTAAATTGAAACGGAACGCATTAAAGCATAGCAATTCCATGACAGTGTAATGGGCACACAAAATTATTAACACCAATAAGTTGATGCCGCGCTTAAGACTGGTACTCCTTTGGCAACATTTTGTAATCAGCTGATTTGACTTAACGTCTGTTAATATGATTGCTTAAATGGTGAAATTCCTCTTGTAAATGTAATTTAGAAGTCATTTTTTGAAGCTTTTCTCCTGCATTTCGGGAGTGATACAATTTAGTGGCCAAGTTTCTTTGGGAAAAATATGTGGAGTAAAATTATCTACCAGGCCTTGCTGGTGTTTGCACCAGGCTTTGCTTTCGTGGTGTGGTGGTGAGACAAAAAAAAAATCGGTGATGCGTGGAAAGACTTGCTTTTGGCACACAGCTGCCGATTGTGATGCACTTTGTAAACAAACCAAACTTAATGCGTGCAAGCGGCTGGAGTCACTGGGGTTCATGGGCTTCGAGGTACCTGGCGCCATTGCTCTGTGCATACATAGACATGGTTCAGATGTAGGTGAAGCAGGACATAGCCATAGGTGTCCATGTTCTGTAGAGCCTCGTTTATGCTTGGTGGTTTCAAGTGAGCTCGGTTTTGGATGACATCTGAAAACCTCAGAAAGGGAAATAGGGGTGTGGCATGTGTGATTAGACAATGTCAGGCAGTAGTGAAAAATTCACGTAAAATATAGAGAAAAGGAGTGAAAATTCCTCCTCATATGGTGTTACTTTACACCCCAAGTCGGAAATTCTAGGACGCTGGTTGCATGTCGTGGAACCTCAGGTCCACGTGATGCCACCAGACAGAGAGATCGGGCCCGACCGTTAGCGGCCCACTTGTGCCGGTCGGCGAAAGACCGATGGGGATAGGGAGGAGGGAATATCGACAACGGCGACGACAACAGCGCCCCCTGGAGAAAGCGTCCCCAGGCCTCAGGCCGACACGAAGAAGGCTGCTGGGTGTTGGTGGTCTCGGGCCGACGTAGCGCTGGGCATTGTCTGAGAGGGCTTCCAGTTGGCGCAAGAGCGGAGCTGACCCACCTTTGTGGGCCTGGCCCACGGCCCGGAATCCCTCATATGACGTTCCGCCAGTTCCTGCCGCCTCATCGGCGTCCCACCAGGTTATGTGCAGCCAGTTGGCGCGGCTAGTCGCGACCTAGAGCAAATCGTCGGGATGTTGAACCATCTTTGGAAACACGCCATAAAACCAAGCTATCTATTCTGCCAAAAATTTTAATAATGGCGTCTTCGTTTCTCCCTGGGACCATATGAGAAATGTAAGCCAATACTTCCATTGCAAAAGTAATTCCCAGCACCAAACTATGCAGCCATTTCACCAACCAGCTCCAAACTTGCTTTCTCTGATTGGCTTAATCTTCTGGCACTGCTCCCGAACGATGTCGTGGCCGTTTCTCATTGGTTGATTAACACGTAATATTACATCATTTCCGCATCAAGCGGTAGTGGTCATTTTATTTTCAAGTGGCATATAAACAGAGTCGTCTGTTGCCGAGCATGCGAACAAGACTCAAAGCAAGTCAGCCAAACTGAAAGGTTTCAGAAGGGGCACTATACTGTTACAGGCGATGATTGTGCGTTGGGTGACCCCTTTTCCCACCTTTTTGGAAAATACAAGAACGTGGCAAGACCAAACCGTTCGTATACGCATAATCTTTGTCTTGTTTTTTTCACGTTAATAGCACACCGGTATCATATCTAATTGTCCTGAAATTTTGCATAAGAAGCGGCAGGCATGGATCTCCCATCGACTAGGTGGCGCCAGCTTCGCCCGAGCTGCGTGTGGAAGAGTCTTCCTGTATTGAAGGTAGGCGTTTGTTTCCTTTGTCTCTGTGCGCCGTGCCAGCGTCTAGTTATTTCACACCTTGTATACTGATGTGATGAACAAGATGAACAAACAAGTGAACCTGGTTTGCGCCTAAAACTGAAATCATAGGATACAACTCTCCCCACAGATGTCCTGGCCAACAATGCGACCAAGACTAGGTCGTTCTGTACTGGTTCAAACAGTTCTTGAAATGTTATTTACTATCGACATTTAGACAAAGACCATCAAGTTGTGGCATCAAAAAATTGTGACAGTGTGATGTTTATTGTTTGCCTTCCGCTGCGACGCACCGTTCATGCCGTAAACGCCACTTTCAATGCGCATTGCCGGTTACAAAACTAAAAGCGCTGTGAGAACCCGGGGAGGTAGGAAATGACGGAAGACCTTGGCAACACAGGAGAATGCAAGCTTCTTTTAAATGGTTGTGCCGTTCTCAGAAAAGATGACCAGGCAATGTTTTTATTCGGAACGCTGACACATTGAGAGATCATAGTGCGAGATTCTCTAATGCTCTTTCACGGACGGTCTGTTAAACTATACCCACACGTTTATGCAGCCGGAATAACCCGCCGTCCGATTCTCTCCTCAGACGTGCGAGCCCGCGTGTCGACGCTGTTGCTGGTGCCGCTGCTGGTGCGGGTGACGGCCGCCTCCTCACCGCCACCTAACGTGACCTGGGAGAGCACGCTGCAGTACTGGCGTGCGACGCATGTCGACTGGTCGCCGCCGGCCGACGCCGTGTACGACAGCCAGCCGGCCAGCTCCGCCTGCCACTGCCGCCACCTGTGTCTGGCCGACCGCGACTGCGCTGCCGCCGAGCTGGCCGAGGCCGGCGGCGAGCTCTCCTGCCGGCTGGCCCGCCAGCGCGGCAACAGCACCGCCACCACCACGGCGGTGGCGGCCTTCGTGCGCGACGGCCGCGCCGCGCTGGGCGAGCGTTGCCTGAGCGCCGCCGAGTGCTGGCAGGGTGAGCCAGGCGCTACCTGCGAGGCCGGCGTCTGCGTCTGCTCGTCGTCGGCGCTGGAAGACGTCGAAGGCTGCGCCATCCGCGACTGCAGCGAGCTGGTGTCGCTCGGCATCGGCGTCAGCGGGCAGTACCCGATGCGACTGGCGCCGGACGAGTCGCCGGTGCAGGTATACTGCGACATGGAGACGGCCGGTGGGGGTTGGACCGTGTTCCAGCGGCGGCAGGACGACCCAGTGCAGATCGACTTCTTCCGCGACTGGCAGAGCTACCGTGATGGCTTCGGGAACGTGTCGGGCCAGTTCTGGCTCGGCAACGAGCTGATCCACCGGCTGACCGCCCGCGAGCCACAGGCGATGCGCGTTGACCTGGAGGACTTCGAGGGCGAGCGGCGCCATGCCCAGTACGGCTCCTTCAGCATCGCCGACGAGGCGGACCAGTACCGACTGCAGCTGTCCGCCTACTCCGGCGACGCTGGTGACTCCCTGACCTACCACTCAAACCAGCAGTTCAGCACGCATGACCGAGAAAACGATGTCTGGTACTCTCACTGTGCCGATAAGTTCAAGGGGGGTTGGTGGTACGGGTCGTGTCATCGCTCAAATTTGAATGCACTGTACCTGCGCGGAGCAATGCCGACGGTTCGCGATGACGGCGGCCGCTCGGAGATTGGTGTATCCTGGACCGGCTGGAAGGGGCATCACTATTCGTTCAAAACCACCGAGATGAAGATCAGACCGGCTACCTTGGCAGGAAATTGATAGCATCGGCGGCCTGTACCTCGGCTCCATGCTGTTAGGGACGAGCTCATTTTGTCTTTTTAGGACTGGGAACGCAACTCAAATTGCAAATCTTGGAATGCTGAACTTGTGTTACACAACCTCGCTAAATGAACTCCAGACATCCAGGACCCTAAACCACGCCGTGTTAGCAGTTGGCAGCTCCTTGAAGTTCTGATGAAACTTTCCATAATCCTACAGCCGTTCGGTGCATGTGGTCGACGAAGTTATGAGCTCACAAAAACTGGTGGGATTTAAAACATTGCCAGAGACCCCCGTTTAGCAGATTTCTAAGTCCTTGCGTGAAAGTTCTACTATTGACGACCGCACTTGTACCAGCCCTTGCCGCGAGTCAGGCAAAGATAAATATTTCAAATCCAGAGCTTCTATTTAACAGTAGCTAACCCTCACCAGCACTCACACCTCACCACAGTAATCAAACGTACAATGACAGCATAAATAAAGTCTTTTCACTCCCAGCACGCCTTAGCTCTCAGAGCTCAGTCCTGGAGGCTTAGGCTGTAACGCAGCACAAAGCCGCTGTACGGAGCAGTCCTGATTCAGGCGAATGTCCTCGACAGCAGACAGGAAAAACGGGTGGAGTGATTTGTGGCCGGCCCACTCGTTCACAGTGCGGCAGTAAAGCTCGACCGGAATGAAAGTAAACTGAAGAGCTTGCTGAGTGGGTGCTTTTTCACATAGCAGGCGAGTGGTTGGTGGACGTTCATCGCCATTTCTCCCTTATGATCGACGATCAAGGTTCAGGCGGACGCCCTCGGCAGCATACAGGTCAACGGGTGGAGTAACCGGTGGTCGACCCATTCGCTCGACAAGCTGGTAGCAAAGCCTTAAGTCGATTTCGTTCACATATCAGGCAAATGGGTGCTGGACGTTCATCGCTATTTTGCCCAATTCCCAAAAATGCACGAAATAACAATGTACGGGCTCGGATTTGATGTTTTATAAGAATGAAAGGGAATGCTTCACGTTTGATGATATTTAAGCCAGCATCAGATATGATGAAACAAACTCACTTATAACAGTTGGCATGCTTTTGAGTACAAAGGACTGCTCAAGACCACAAAAGTTCTCTTCTTAGGAGATATGCTCCTCAATACGTCATTGACTGCGTCATGGAACGTTTGTATGACATTGAGGTGTTGCCAAACTAGCCGTGCGGAATTGCCACCGTAGTGTTCTCTTGTAGTCATTCAGTGCCCCGAGAGATGGCTGTGGTGGTGTTAGAAATGTTTGCTGATCCAAATATCATTATGTGCTCGTGTTTTGGCCCTTTCTTGTAGCGTTCTTGCCTATTTATCCGTGAGTTTAACATGTATACTTATATTCACCTACTCGGTATTGCGTTTTTCTTAAGTTGTTCAACATGAAGCCGCATTTTCGTCCTAACTTGAGCCTGAATTCTAGTATTATGTGGCACAAAAAGTGATTCGTTGATTAAGATTGATTTGAAACTGAAACTAGATTGCAAATGGAGAGCGACTGTATTTCGATGAGACCGTATTCATAGCCTTATTCGTCGTAGAATACCCAAGAGAGTGGAGAGATAGATGTAATATTTCGACTACATGCCTACATGGAAACAAATATCGGCGGTAAGTGTAAATTTGCCAACTGCCAATCGGCAATTCTGAATTTACTACTGATATGCGTTTTGATAAAGGCATTTAGCCGAAGCATCACATCTCTCTCTATTCTGCATATTGTAAGAGGAATAAGGCTATTAATACTGTCTCACCTATATGCATAGTGTGCCTTGCAGCCACATATAGCAGCTTGCCGTTGTACTTTGTTAAAGGTAAACTATTTGGTGACCGGTTTTTGATTGGCATGACGAGCTAGGAAGAATTTGATATCATTATAACGTTCCATTTCGCGAAACAAGCTGCTTGTGGGCGCCGAGTTCGTAAAGGTGAGCCTGAAATGCTCTGTAAAAATGGGAATACATCACATCCACGCCGAGGATAAACTTTATGGGCTTATGGAAGGTGCGACTCGGCGAAGTCGTCGCAATGTGCTCATAAAGACGCTACGACAGAAGTTGTTGTCGGCGAAACCAGCAAAGGATCTCAGCCACGAAATTCCTGAGCGGTTGGCATTGGAAAGGCAAGCGCACCGGAGGCATATGCTCGAACGCCATTCATCGCTAGAGTACCGAAACTCATTCAGAATTGGGATCGGCACAGAACAGGTTTTCTTGGAACCATTGTGCAGTTACACCCGCCTCGTGCTGCTCCAGAGACTCCACCAGCCAGGTCGCCACAAGCGCAGTCTTCAGCCGCAACAGCGTGCCGGGCAACGGCCTAAACCACACGTCATCTGCGGCCGACTGCTGCTGCGCATCCCGTCGTCGACGCTCCAGTGCAATTGGCTGCGCATGAGAGGCGGCGGCATCGCGCCCTGTGATGACTGCCGCAGACTGCAATGACCCTCACGTGCTGTGATGGCTGTCGCAGACTGTTCAGGCCATCGCGGACTGTGAAAACTATCGTAGACTGCGACACCCGTCGCGGACTGAGATGACTGTTGCGGACCGTGATGCCCGTCGCATACTGTGATACCTGTTGCGAACTATGGTAACTGTTGCGGACTGTGATGCCTGTTGCGGACTATGATGACTGTTGCGGACTGTGATGCCTGTCGCATATCGTGATGACTGCTACGGACTGTGACGCCTGTCGCACACTGCGGTGACTGTTCCGGACTATGATAGCTGTCGCATATTGTGGCCCCTGTCGCATACTGTGATAACTGTTGCGGACTGTGACGCATGTCGCAGACTACATAGGATCCGCTGAGGTGACAGGCGCCTGACAAGCACGGGTCCGAGTCGAGCAGCTCGAGGATGAGGCAAAGTCGGTTCCCACTCATCCATATGCTCTACATCATACTATTTCTTCACGTGTTCTTTCATAAGATATACCGCTTGATCGAGCATCGCAGTCGGTGACATACGAAATGAGTTCGGGCACGATCGACGTCCAAATTGCATCCTTACTCTTGAGTCCGATGCTTGTAAGACATGTGGCGCAGAGTACGATGCATACCCAAATGTAACCGATTCACCGGAGCCAAGAGCCGCTGGAGCTGGATCCAAAAGTTCGCTAATACCGGACGCCAGCGGGCCGTCCCAGCCGGCGCCCGGGGCGCGAGGCGTGTGAGTCGGCTCCGGCACTCACGTCCGCGCGGGGCTGAAGCTGTGGCGGCGGCCCTGGCGGCAGCCCACGCTGGACGTCGCAGCGACTGGCCGCCTGCGCTGGAGAGGGCGTCGGCGGCTGTCTCGCCTGGTCCGGGTCCAGGCCCGGGTCTGCTGGGACCGGGGTGTGGGCTGGGGATGGCCAACGTGACTCTGATGTGGCGGACCGGCGGGGATGTGGTGTCCGTCCCAGATGACTGGGACTCCGGGCGGTTCTGATCGTGAGCTGTACTGGCTGGCGTTGCATACCGCGATGGCTACGCGAGTTGTCGGGGAGAGCGCCGCGAGCCGGGCTGTTATGACCTTGGGCCTGTTTTGACCGGCGCACCACCGGCTGTTACACTGGACGAAATGACGCGCCGGCGACTGGCCAGTCTTCTTCGAAACTGACTAGCTGCGACGTCAAAACTAGCTTCTGCACTGCATCGACTAGCCGTGCCGCGTCCCTTCCGCGGGGCATTTACGCACCCTGCCCAGAAAGCAACGAAATGCGTTCCGTGGTCGACAACGCTCCCTTTTCCTTTTAAAGCCGCGCTAAGGCTATTCTGCACGGCTAGCTTTTCAGCTGGGGTCACTGGAATAGTGCTCTCACCCCCAACCCCTCGCGCCCGTGCCCGCCTGGAGAACGGGAAGAAGACGCGTGCAAATATGGAGAGGCCACTAGATCAAAGAGCGTAGCTAACTGCAAAACAATTTTAGGTATGTTAATTTTCTACGTAGATTTTGCTGGTTGAAACGTGTTTCTGTGCGGTCCCTGAACGTTGTTGAGGGCTGCATGTGATGTGAACACCAACATAGGAAAACAAATGTCCACCATTTGACACAACAGTCACCGGCCTGCGCATGCCTCAAACCGACAACCGAAATGGTGTCAAGAGTGTGCCCTCCAACAACACGGGATACGTCTTGGTTCTCTCTCTTCTTCACGCCAGATCACAGCACTGAACAGACACGCGGTGGCACGCAGCGGCTCTCCACCAAGTCTAGGCAGCCCTCAAGGCCCAAACAGCACTGCGTAGTCTACTTTGCGACTCAGCTCCGAGACAAATGCCGGCACGAACGCGTGGCAGTTCTTGCCGGCAGTGACTGTGGCGCCCGGGTAGAAGCACACGTTGGCCGTCGTCCCCTCCAGCACGAGATAGCACGTGAAGGCAGCCAGCGGCGTCCTCTCCGGCGAGCTCTGCAGCTTCAGCGCCATGTGGGTGACTTTAATCTCGAACTCGATGCCGCTCTCGCGGCCGACGAGCTGGCCGGCAGCCTTCTTGCGATACTCCCACGTGGGCAGGTGGACGTGGCAGGAGAAGCCCTGCACTACGTCCGCGCTAACGTCCAGCTCCTCGAACGACATGGCCACGCAGTCGAACAGCATGACGCGCCGTAGCAGGGCGTGCAGGAAGCGGGCGAAGGCGTCGGCGAAGCGACGCGCCTCCGCGGGCCCCGTCGGTGCCCGCCCGCCTCTCGTAAGAGGCACGGACACCACCCGGCTGGGCGGCGCGTCGAAGTCGGCCAGCACGCGCTTCAAGAGGGTGTGGTCCGCGTGCAGACGCACCACCTCCGATACAGAGGAGCGCTCCGAAGATGGCGGTGTGGCGCTGGAGGCTCCCACCGGTCCTGAAGCTGCTGTGTCACCATTGGGCGTTAATGACGGTTCGACGCCCGTCGCAACGGCCGTAGACGCAGCGTTGGCCCCACCGCTGCACGCGCCAGACGCGGGCACGGAGGGTACCGCCGACGCCCTTCCCCCCTCGGGAGGTGCCGTGCCGGTTGTCCTCTTTCTCGCACCGGCGGCAGCCTCGCTGCCGTTCGGGACGGCTGCAGACGCCGCCACATCGGCACCATGAGGAACGTCCGAAGGCGTCCCGGGAGACACCGTCTGGTGCCCTTGACGCCGCCACCCCTCTCGCAGTACCTCCTGGTGGCGTCCCAGGAACAACGTCACTCGTGGAGGCGGCCGCACGCCCACTACCGCCCGTTCGTAACGCGACGCTCCCGGCTCCTTCCTACACGCGCCGCCATCGCCTCGTCCACTTGGGTGCCATCGACTCCCGAAGGTGATTTCTCGTCACCAACACTGTTCCACATCACACCTTTCGCGTCACTGTCTCCCCTCTGCGAGAGCTGCGCGCCGTCACCTTTGGCGAGCCCCGAGACACGCTCAGCGCTGCTAGACTCCTCGTGCGCGGCGTCCACATCACCGCGGCCCAACTCGAGCGTCCCCCGTTCCGCGGTGCTCTCCACCGACCGTCCCCGCCGGGCGGTCTCCGGAAACTCGGCAGAGCGGGGCACCTTAGTGCCGGCCTCCCCGGCGCTCGCGTCACCGCTCACCAGGCGCTCGCGCTTGCGGGACACGGCCTCAGCGCCGCCGTCCGTCCGCCCCGCACCCGCCGGTGGTGCTTTCTTCCCGCGCGTCTTCATCAGCGGCTCCTCTTCGAACAGCTCGTGAAACGGCATGGTCACCGCCCGTGCGCAGCACTCACGGAATCGGTCCAGCCCCTCCTGAGAGTAGTTGCGCGCCACGTTGAAGTCGAGCTCGAACGGGTCCTGTACCACCAGCGGCGTGCCGGCGTCCAGCGGTGCCACCTGGTGGTCCGCCACCAAGCCAAAGTACCTGCGCAGCTCCGGCAGGTAGCAGTGCTGGCGGTCGGCGAGCTGCTCGCGCGGCACGGCGCGGCCTACCAGCGGACACACAGCCAGCCGCTCACTCTGGAGATCTGCGCCGTAACGGAAGAAGTGGCGGAGCAAGCCACTGGCTGTGCTTTGGTTGGCCGACCGCCAGGGGGCGCCCAGGGCGAAGGCGGCGTTCCACGGGCCTATCAGCACCTCGGGAACCTGCGCCTGTAGCCTGCGGATTACAGCAAGGCGGTGACACACGCCGTGAGGAAAAAGACAGAAATGTGATTGAGCTAACACCGCTTGTATGCTTGACGGCAGGGCTATGCCGAGCCGCGTCCGGTAAATGTCCTACACGATGTCATAAGTAATCAACACTGTTGAGTCACGACCCACAACACAAGCTCGACAGACGGGTTCATCAACTCACTTGCAAAAGCTCGTTTGCTCACTCATCTGATTCACCAACTCATTTACCCGGGGGCTGATTGCGCCGCTAAGCCGCAATTGCTTGGACTACGTGTCGTACCATGCAACAGATGGCAGCAAAGGTGGGTCCAGCTGCTGCAGGAACGTGATGACCAGCAAGGTGAGACAGTAGCTGGACATCTTGCGTGGGTTGTGGTCACCGCCGGCCACGTGGTGGCGGTTAGCCCAGTATCGCAGTGTCACGGCCACCAGGCGAGCCCGTTGGTCTGCAGGGAAACCAGCGGGTCAACATAACGAAGGTTTAGCCAGGCCAGAGACGGGAAGGCCCAATGACGGGAATGAACCTCGCAAGCATCTGCCGAGTGGACAACAAATAAGACTGATAAACTGTGCAAATATGCTTCAAAACTTCATTATCACAAACACATAGCATCGCAAACATGGAACGAGGTCCCACCGCGCACACAGCTCTCACGGAGTCTGCACCCGCACACCAGCGTGTGACACCCCATCTAACGATCGGGTGGGCACCCGCCTACCGCAGCTCCACCCACCTGCCTTCATGAACCAGCCGACGAGGCGCGAGTTCTGGCACGACATCGGACTCCTGAAGCTCATGTCGCAGCGCACGCCACCCAGCCGCCTGGCGCAGAACTTGATGATGGGCACGCGCGCCTGCAGAATGCGCACCAGTCGGCTGCAGAGGTCGGGCCGGCGCATGCCCTGCAGCACCGCGGCGACGGCGCGCGCCCGGTCCGCCTCGTCGGCGTCGGTCGGCAGCCCCGCGTCCGGCGCGTTGGCGTCGATGTACGCGTACAAGTCCAGGTCGCAGCCGTGGAAGCCCAGCCCGCTCACGGAAGAGCCGAACGCCTGCACCAGACACGTGCGGAAGCGCGCGCGCAGCTCCGCCTGCGCGACGGACGGGGTCAAGGGTCAGCGCGGCTGGCGCTACCGGTGCTCGCGTGCGGCTGGAGGACGGGTCACGTGCAACGTTCGTGGATGGGATGGGATGGGATGGTAATAGGGAGCGGCGAGGGAATCGTTTGACCAAATGCAACGCACTGCTGTTCCGCAGAAGTTTGCAGACGGGAGCTCTTTGCGAGGACTATAGCGCTCCCACAAAAAATGAAGCTTCTAGGATACGAAACGAAACACATAGTTCTAGACATATTTAAAACAGTTCTGGGCAGTATTAAACACCATTTGCCAGGTCGCAAAACAGTGCAAGTCTGGCGCAAGCCTGGAGATTACGCTATTATATCGGCATGCACCACTCGTGTTTAAGCTCACTACTCTGCAAAACAACTCCAAGACGAGAAAATAAGTGGCGTCCAATTTCGCTGTTCTGTTCCAGCCACAAAAATAACACACCGGAGTAATGTCGCAATACTACATAAGAGACGGCACTCCGCGCACGCCACTGGAAGGCTATCAAACATCTGTAATGAAAAAAACTCCAGCTCCCCTTGCATTGTCTTCAATTTACGAGGATTTAGTAACTCATGTTTGAATTGTGAATCACTGGTTGCAAAATTAAGTTTATGTGGATAACTTAGACAAATTATATCACATCTACCTTAAAACTTGCGTGGGCTTCAGGGATTACTTCAGACAAGAGACTATTCACCAAACGACGCGACCTGTTATTGAATCAATCCACTCCAGCCACCCGTCAAATCCCTCCATCCCCGCTGGCTGGGCATGAGCAGACCATCCGGCTTCCCCTAGGACCGGCGGCCTGGGCTCCGCCCACCTGCAGCTCCAGGCAGAACCGGACCCGCTGGTCGTGCTCCGCCGACGTAGGCAGCAGCTGGCCCGCCCAGAGCCGGCGGCCTGGGCTCCGCTCACCTGCAGCTCCAGGCAGAACCGGACCCGCTGGTCGTGCTCCGCCGGCGTGAGCAGCAGCTGGCCCGCCAGCCATACCATCAGCTCGTCGGCGCAGCGGCTTCGCTGCCGCCACAGCCACGACAGCAGCGCCTCGTGCTGGACGGCCTCGGACGCATCTGGCGCAAAAGGGGCGGCGGGCTAGGAACAGGGCGTGTGACACGATGATCAAAGGCGTCGGTAGAGGTCATTACTTGTTCCTCGTTTGGGACCAGCCGATGCCAAAGGACAACCATGTGCACAAGCATTTCTGAGGTACCGAAAACCGATGTTGAAGATATCCGTGATTTTCAAAGCGTCTGGAGCAACAGTCGCATTGCATGAGTTTGAGAAGACACCAGATACATACCCCATTTTGCATTTCTTCGAATACTGACACGGGAAAAGGGTAGGTGCAACGGATAGGTCTCCAGCCATACGTTGCCTTAAATAGCGCCACCAGCCATGACAAACGCAAAGGTCAAGAGCACGCTAATTTGAAACGCCAACTTACGCGCGTGGACACGGCCCATGAGAAAAGCAAGAAGAAAACGGAAAGATGGAAGGTACAGAGGCAGGGGCAGAGGCAAGTACCCTGGCGCAGATGATGTCCGGATCTGCCGTTGGCACGCGGGCGCGACAGCTCCATCTGGTGGCCAGCGATGAGGGTCCCGCTGGATAGCAACGTCTCCGCCTCGCACCTGGGGCACACGTACCGCACACAGACGCTGACCACCACAGCAGCGTCAGTGGCAGAGGCAAATGGGTATCGGACACACATCTGGAGCACACACCGCACACAGACGCTGATTACCACAGCAGCGTCAGTGGCAGAAGCAAATGAGCATCGGACACACACAAAGAATAACACTGAGACATCTTCACATATACCCCTGAATTTTCCGGCATTGAGAATCCAGAGTAGAACGGATAGGAGCAATCTCAGTTTTGGGGAAATCGCAAGCGCCTCCAGGCTTGCATGTGGCGGGAACCATGTGACCGTGTGTGGGGGAGCACTATACAGAATGCGAATTCATCGCATCCCTTGAGAAGATGCATGTGTTCCAAACTTGTCACAGTCCATGAACTCTCATCAGGTGACCGCGGTTTCGAATGGCTATCATCCTTAACAATGTCCGTCCGTCACGAAACCCTTTAAAAAGCTGGCGTGGTGGCTGCAGCGCCGGTGCCGTCTGGCAGCGATGGGTGACCCGCCGGGTTCCGGCACATCAGCGCCTGATTCAGATTCCCAGACGTCCCATTTCGTCTACGAGGGAAGACTGCAGACGAGCGTACGCGCCAACGAATGACATGACACGTGTTAGGTTCACAGTAGTATTTCTCCACCAAACCGCCGCAAAACCAACCCGCAGCACGGACCGTTTGGGCCGCGGGGTCGGTGAGCACGCGCCAAGCCTTACTGGGACAGGATCCTCGGATAACAGTGAGCTCTGACGCCATTCGAGCACAAAATTCGTGCGACTAAATTTATACGCAGCGTGCCGTCTGTCACCAGGTGACATAAGCTTTCGGAGCATACAATATTATGACAAACATGCTTGAGAGCAATTTGCGACGTCGCGTCTGGGAAAGGGGTGCCAGCATGTACTTTCACATGGGTGGGATGAGCAGACGGTGCACACTTTCCGTTGTGAGCATCGTTTGCCGAAAATTGTCACCCAATCATCACTAACTTACCTAAAAGAAGTTAAAAGTGCGGCCGGTAAAAAGAATAAAGGCCACGCCGGGGACGAATGCATCGTATTAAAACCGGGGCGCGCGGTGTGCGGAAAGAACCGTCTGCGTCAGTCGTCGCAGCACAACCGGCATATTTGTCTTACGTGGTTTCAAACTCGACGTGAATCGTTGAGCCGCGAACCAGCGTCTTATCTGGCCGCGTCCGGAACCTAAAATCCACTATCTTCCCCGACGTCTCCAGCCTCTGGAAGATCTCCATCGGCGATGGATTGGCACCGTAAAACGACGACGGACCTGGAAACAGTACGTCGCGGGTCATCCAGGCCTCCAGAAACGGTCCGCCTCAGCTGGCCGATTTGAACGAGAGCGCAGAGAACACCAGCAGCGGCGGCGGCGAGCTGGCGCTGAGCCGTACCGCATCACTCAACTGTGCCGATGCGCCGGCGCTTATCTGCACTTTCCGATCGTTCGCATCGTTTTTTTTCCGTTCAGTCATTCTAAGAAATCGTGGCAGTAGTAGCAATTAGGTTTTAAGAGCGTGCCAACCGCAGTGATTATTTGTGTCATTTTGGGAGATTCTGTCGCGCAATATGTGATGCGCGTCTATGCGTGCCCCCCCCCCCCCCCATGCCAACGAAAACACTTTCAGTCTGCCAGTTCCGATGCATTTATGCTCGGTCCGTTTCACCCGGATGTAAACAACGCATCTGTCCGTGGAAAAGCGTCCGCAGCGGACACCCGATCCCGCTCACCAACACGCAGCGTCAAGAGACGAGTGTCACATCCTTTATTGAAAACGGCAAGAGCAAGCGGCGTGACAAGGCACAGGCTGAGGTAGCGAGCGCTGCGTTGGGGGATGTGATACTTCAACAAATCTTTGGATGGTGATCGCAGTACCGCGAGCATAGTATGATTCACAGACTGTCGTTGGCACCAGTGTCTTTGCTTCCACTGAATCGATCGCTTCACATGCAATACAAAACGAGTTGACATGCGCCTCATGTAAACACAAAAAACAAAACCTATCAAAGGAATACCACTACACGGTCGGATAGCAGCCCACCATCTGAATGTCTTGCAAATTCTAGACTTTCTAGGTCCTAGCTTTATACTGGAATTCTAGAACTGTAGACATACTAAGCACTCGACGAAGGATGGCTAGTCGAAATATGGTGAATTTTTTTGTACATTTGTTTTTCTTGTAATTATAAGCTGCGACTCAACGTGAAATTGTGCACGACTAACCATGAACCAACTCAAAGAAGGGTTGCAACTCGGTAGCGCTAATGTATTTACCCTGCAAGTACAAAACAAAGACCTTCAACATGCCGGAAGGCACTGGTTAAACGACGTCATAGAGCAAACATTGGTTACATTGGCAGTGTTCGATGTTTCAATGTGTGCTGATGATCACGAAAGTCGCCCGCACCGGCTGGTGGGCAAAACAAAACCCATAACCCGGCCGCGTCGCACGGACGACCGGCAGCACCCCAGCACTGGGGCGGCCGGCGCTCGCGCGCCGCCGGCGACCGTACCCTTGAGGGCGACGCAGCGCGGCGCCGCGTCGCCGGTCGCCGGCGGCAGCTCGGCCACCTTCCTCTGGTGGCTCTTGCCCAGCAGGTGCTCCCGCGCCGCGCCGTCGGACGTGTGCCTTACGTCGCAGAAGCGACACCAGCTAGCGGACATGGCGGCCTGCCGGCGGGGCGAGGGGAGGGTGGGGTGACGATGGGGAGTCGGCGCCGCGCCACGCGACCGTTCACGGGCCGCGGGCAAGCACGCCGGCCGCTGGCTGACGCAGGTGACCCGAGGGCGAACTTATGTCGCTTCCCATGACAGGTGACCAGGCTTGACCGCACTGTGACCCGCAGTATACGTCGGTGCTCCCCGCGGCAGCTCGGGGCAGCAGCGTTCTAACGCTCGTCTCTGTGCCGCAGTCCAGTTCAAAAAGTAGACCTTTACAAAATGTGCGGCGCTTTACTCGACGTTTTAAGATGCTTTAAGGCCCTGGAGACGCAGAAGAGAGAAATGTGCCAAATGTTAAGTTTAATTGACATGCGGGGCGCGACACATTTGGTACATGTTCTAACCCAGCGCTTGACTCCCTGGTGAACACATATTACTTTATGATTAGAATCATCTGCAAACGCCGATAGCCCAAACATCGACCAAAAATCATTGATTTATTTCGGAGGACAATTAGGTGCGTGAGATTTGAACAACCGAACAATATTTACGTCTCAGAAATAAAGTGACCAGTAAGTAATGTCTAAGACACGGCAGCAGCACATTGGCAAGACAAATGCTACCTGTTCTGGCATCAACAATCTTGGTGAAATATTTTGGTCGCAGAAATCCAGCTGGGTCTCCAGCTGTAAGAATCACACCATTTGATGACTTGAAGAACTCTATGCCATCTGGAAAATAGAGATATAGTCACTCAAAAATTGTATTATGCCCAACAGCCAACACGAACCGTGCCGGGGTTCACTTCACAAAGTGTTACGCTACGGTTAGCCGCCCACATGACAACAAAGTGCGCTCAAAGGCTTCCCAACTTTGTCATTCTAGTAATTATCAGCACGATAAATGTTCACCCCGCGTTTAATAACGGGTAGCTATACTTGTGTCAATGTGGTCACGTGACTGTCGCAACAACGATCGCGTGAAGAGTTTCTTTCTCTCCAGCTGCAACAACTGAACTGCACTGAACCAAATACCCGATCCCACAGAGCAACAGCAAACACGCCCTCCCCACACGAGCCCGCGCTATCCTGCTCCCCGCACGCCCATACCTGCGATCGCCTGATCGACGTCGACATGCACGTGCACTTGGCACGAGGTCCTCATGCCGCTGATGACGCCGTTCTGGCCGGGCAGACCGGGCGCCAGGTGGATGTGCTGACGGTTCATCCGACTGCGCGGCAGGCGCATCAGTCAGCTGGCGGGGGACGCACAAACCGCACAACGCGGACGGCAGTCCGCAGACTGGCGTGGTGAGCACATCCCCGAGTGGAAACAGACGAGAATTTGTGTCGTGATTGTAGTGCAAGTGTAGTCGGTGTACCGTTTGCATTTTTAGTTTGATTTAGTGCTCGCTTCTCGTTTGTTGAGTCACTTAGTTTGAGATTATCTCGAGGCCTAATTTAGTGTTAGTCAATCCATGCTATTTTGGTATTCATTTTGGATTGCTAATTTTAGTCTCTGTTCTGTCTGTTTCCGCTCTGTTCAGTTCTAGGTCTAGTCTGTCCATTTCTGAGGTTTCGTTGTTTCCCTGTCAGCGTCCACGAGGAGTCGAGGCGCGGTGTTGGCGATGGGCGGTCATCATATATGGTGCACCTGAAATCTCGGTGTCTTCGACGTGGCGGCCGTCTACACAAGCACTTCCATGGCTAACTCAATAGCGAACGCCTGTGTGTTCGTCGTTTTGCCTGCGCTCCTGTCGGGCACGACAAACAAGCGGTGTGCATCGCAGTAAAATCTGTATACGCGACGGGTATGACCTTTGTGGCGGCCCCCGACCTAACTTCATGCCCCTGCCCCCCCCCCCCCCCCCCCCAGGCCTGTGTGAGTCACAGCGTGGGGCGCCCTCAAAGGCTGGCAGGGCGACGCCTAACGGCGCTTATATAAGAGAATAGCGTGCGTTGAAGCGATCGATTGAAAAATGTCCCACAAAAGTTCCAGGAGCCAGAGGATCAGTCCCCTGAAAACGGTGCAGCAAATTGCCCGTGTGCGCAGATAGTAGTGCTACTATAGCCTGAGTGCGTGGAAAATCTCAACGGGCAATGAGTTCCGAGCCCTCTCCCCCGGTAATCTGGGTGTCAAACAGCTCGGAGAGGCCAACTGAGAATCGTGCTGCATCATTAATATGAATCCATGTAACAATGCTGGGTTCGCCTCCACCGCTGTGAACGGCGCCGGCTCTTTGCGCCGTGAAGTAGACGGCAACCGTTCGCTTACCACTAAACTGCATGTAAGGATGATCATGGGATATTTCAGGCACACCATACATAAACAGAATGTCTCCGACGGTTGTGCCGTAGGTCATGGGACGGATGGCACACACTGTCTTACCTAAGTCCTTGTTGCTTGATGCTCTCCAAACACTTGTAGTAGGTTCCGTGCAGAACAACGGGGAAATCTTCTGCAGAAGCGATTTTCTCCAGCTCTAACCCCTCGACCTGAAAATGTTCAGCTTCTGATGAAAACAGGCGTCTTCGATGCTAAGTGTATCAAGTCTTACCGATATGAACGCACACTAAAATGCGATGCTCCCGTGTTCATTCTCAACTCCTACCAAATGTCCGTACCCCATCCCCCTTTCTTTAATCACAACGCCCATCCACAGCACATGCTACCGCTGGAAGGCCGGGTGTCGGAAACGCCGTGCTGTGGGGGAGGGGGAGGAGGCCCAGCCGACGAATTCCCGGCAAATTTGACAGCAGTCCCACGCTGGTACACGGAAAGGAACACATCGAAGCGCCCGTGCGCCCCGCCGCCACGACTGCCGGCCTAGATTCCCCCGTACATCTCCACCTGACCGGGCCGGCGCCCCCGCGGCGCCCTCACCTGCAGCGAGTGGCCCTGGTTGGCGCGGATCAGCAAGCCGCGCTCGGCGTCCTCCCGCAAGCAGAAACGCTGCTTGTCGCTGAGCCGCACCACGCGGCGCACGTCTTCGGCGGTGTAGCGGCGCAGCGCCGGCCGCGCCAGCACGGCCGCCACCGGCAGGAAGCCGCCCGGCAGCAGGCGCAGGCCCTCGCGCTCGGCGCCGTGGCGCAGCAGCCAGGACAGCCGCTTGCTCAGCGTCTTGTCGTGGCCGGCATCCTGCGGCGGCCGGCGCTGGTCAGCGACTCACCCGGTCGGCGGCCGTTTCACCAGGGGGGGGGGGGGGGGGTCTGACAAAACACGCAGAGCTTGTTGGATAGCAGATCAGACCTGTACAGCACATCAGTAACTCTCACCTGCTTACCACTGTATTATCAGGCCATAATTGTTGACAGTAGAAAACCCAGGAAGGCTTGTCAGCACTGGGGATAATCTCAGGCAAAGGACAATCTATTGAAACAAAGGGGGGACTACATTTTGAGGAAATCACAAAACATTCCTCAATAAAGAAATGAATGAATGAGCACATGTGACTACAAGCTCTTGCTTGCTCAACACCAAAGAGTGAGTGCATCTGTTTCACTTGACAACATACCATACAGGATCTGTTCAAAAACAGTTTAAGCAAAAAGAAGCTGTCAATAACACCATTTTACTTTAAGTGGCCATTGACAGTGGCACGGGTTTGGCACTGCTCAGTCAGGACTTTTGTAAAGCACCAGAGCCTAGATTGCAACTGATCTTGTTGCATTGGAAGTAAGTATCCACCTTCTTCCTTAAAATGGGCATTACAAGTTTCTCATGAAATTTAAAACAGAAACAACTTAAAGCAGCCTCCAAGATCTTGCTGATAATTCTACATCAGCAGTTTGCAATGGACTGATGGAGCAGCACCATGAAAGTAGTCATTGTAAAAGGAATGCATAAGCTGTCAAAAAATGGTTTGAGAGAATCATATCTTAAGTCCTTGTCCTAACCAGATAGACACAATCTTGTAATTCAAGTATAAGGCTGAATTTTGACCAGAAAGACAAAACCCTCCTTCTAAATGGGATGAAAATAAAAGTGCAAGGCATCAGAACTGCACAAGTTGCCAGCAAGCACAAACTTACCGCCATTAGTTAGTGGTTACTCTCTGTCCTGTGGACCAGCATGATGTTAGTTATTCAAAATCTCACATACATATGTTGCTAAGTAGCCAATATACAATGGTATGGTGTTGCATGCTGACTTCTACCATGTGTGAGAAAAAAATGCATTGTGAATTAAGTTACAAATGCTTTGAAAAAGCAGGCATAACCTGGCTTTATCATCCCCATTGGTTATACATATGGCAGATAGAATGACTTTCTATTTTTTTGCCTCTTATGCTTTGGTAATGAAAGAAGGACTGATCCATTTATGCCTGCAAATACTACTTATCCATGATTAATTTAAAACTTAATTTGACATCAATTTGACATCAATTTTAACTGCCATCACAGGCGCTCTACACTAAAGATTCAGCCTCATGGAGGCTTTCAAACAAAACCAATTTGAATTTGGATGCCCCAGATTCCATACTCAACCCCAGCACTAAACCTGTACTCAATGTTACATTGGTCCCACTTTGGCCACATTCTGACCTTTCATCTATTGGTAAAACAATACTTTACCAGTGTGAAGGACAGGGTCAGATAAACAAAAATATTATGACACATATCTGGGTGTGTTGCCTGGATCTAACTTTCCTGGAGGAAAAAAAATGAGCTTAAATGAACACAATAGCCAGAATGAATCACAATCTGAAATGGCATGGTCATGAATTACATTCATAAAATAAGGTATGGAGAGGGGTAGCTGTGCAGGTCTGCAAGCCAGGGCATATTCTGATATCTTGATGGGGCAGAGGTGGGGCACAACTTGCAATTTTGGGCAGGTTAATAAAACATTGGGGCAGAAATCATGGAATTGGACTACTGAAGGTAGGTATCATAATATATGCATACACAATTGGTAAGATCACAAGAACGACTAAGTCTGATGGCAGGGTCAGGGTATACATTGCTACCTCATGCTAAGAACGAGCACTGTACATCAATCATCGTTTTTAAGACAGAACATATTGTAATTAGTAGTAAAACAGATCAACTAAACTCTTACCTTGGGACTTAAATAACTACGATAGCGAACATCTGAGCGCAAACACGCAAAAACCACGACCCCGGCTCCATTTCAACGCGTGATCACAACATTACTGCCCAATCACGACATTACCGAGCATCAAGAACCATAAAAATGTACGAGGCCAAGGTAACAAGAATCCAATAAAAAAGGTTTCTTGCGTATCCAAGCAGTCTTCCATATTGTTTGAAGATTGGTTAACATGGTGGGGAAATTTGATTTTTTTGGTGTGGGAATGAAAAGCAAAATGAGAATATGGCGACTAAACAAAACTTCTTAATATGGTACATATATATGGCATGGAACAGGGATGCCAATGGGATGCTGGGTTGAAGGGGATAGGGTAGGGGTTAGGTTAGATTAGGTTAGGTTAGGTTGTTAGGTTAGGTTAGGTTAGATTAGATCAGATTAGGTTAGGTTAGGTTAGGTTAGGTTAGGTTAGGTTAGGTTAGGTTAGGTTAGGTTAGGTTAGGTTAGGTTAGGTTAGGTTAGGTTAGGTTAGGCTAGGCTAGGCTAGGCTAGGCTAGGCTAGGCTAGGCTAGGCTAGGCTAGGCTGGTTAGGCTAGGTTAGGATAGGTTAGGGCAGGCTCAGTTAGCTTAGGCTAGTTTAGCCTAAGATCTGGACTTTTCTGGCCAGTCTGTTTCATAAACGTGCCTAGACGCGACAAGAAACATTTTTCATGGCATTATTATTGTTACCTCGGTGGGGTACATTTTTTATGGCTTTTGATAAGCAGAAGTATCGTAATTACACAATGACAACGCAGAAACAGCGTTGGGGAGTCAAGACGGTGCGGTGCCTTGGGAGCTTGCTATCATAGTTATTAAAATTTGAAGGTAGGAGCATAAATCTACCTGTTTTAAGATTATTTACAATATGTTCCGCCTTAAACATGACAAATGGTGTACCATGATTTTTTTCTAACATTAGGTACCAATGTATTTTTACACCCATGTTTTGGGCAAGGCTACAAAAACCAGCCCCAAACTGGCAGTTAGCTTTCCTATTTGTGGCCCAATTCTGTCTGCTCCAAACATCTCATTGGCATGCTTGCCAATGGAATGCAGCTTGGGGACTTACAACAGAAAATTATGAAATCAAAACACAAGATACACTCACAAACAGGTTTTTTCACTGACTTGGTCAAATTTCTCATTCTTTTATTTCAAGAGGAAGTGCTGGAGCCCAAGTTGGGGGAGCTGGAGCCCTCCCCATCACCCTCCCCAATGAAAAGGAAACACCTCCGGGCTTGACTTAAGTCCATGCTTCCCCACCTGACCCATGAGCAGTTTAAAATAAAACATAGCAGTAATGGGGAATGAAAAAATCATATTACATGGCCCAGCCCCTGACCAGCAGCAGCCATCCTGGTTCAATATTGCACCCCACAGAGGGGCCGACAGAGCCGACATAACAAGATCTTGTCCAAGCTCGCCATGGTTTAGACTGGTTGGTGCACGGGACACACTGGAATGTTCGACCCACACAGATTTCCTGGACTGAACGACCTTGGGTAGGTAGCCAGAAGGCGCAACGGCCGACACAACACCGTATAAGAGGTCCGGCTGCATGTCCGCGCCGACACCCCCGACCAAAGTAAACTCACCTGCACTGCGCGGCATTGCGCAATCCACCTGTTATCATGCCAACACAAACAAAACCGGGCGAGTGCGCACTTCGATATCGGTATAAATGCTTAGGCACCCGGTTGGACTTACTGTTCATATTCGAATAAAGCCGGCAGCCAAGCACAGAACTGGTATCTGGGATCCATGGGCCCTAATGTCTGCATAGCACCTTGTACCAAGGCCGCGCAAGACCGGACCCATGCAACTCTCACGTCGCTCACGTCCAAAAATGGACAGCAATGGCGCCATCGCACGTAGCGCGCGTCAAATTTCGTGCTCTATGCTCTTGCTCGGTGAATTACTAAGCACTGCGGTTGCTGCCTATGACGTCATGAGAAGCGACGACACTCAGACGAAACGCAGCTCCAACAGCTCCAAGGCGTGAGAACCACGTATAACACACACACACACACACACACACACACACACATATATATATATATATATATATATATATATATATATATATATATATATATATATATATATATATATTATGATGGGGAGAGACCCGCCACTGCCGGCCGAGTTTGACCATCGGGTCCCCAGCGATCGCTGACACAGAACATGACACGCTCTCGGCCTACGTGGATCACCTCCGCTTGGGACTGCAGAAAGCGTATAACTTCGCGTGGTAACGCACAGAGGCGGTCATCGCCGCAAACCGAGGTCTGCACGGTCGCAAGTTAAACGCGTTCCACTACCAGGCGGGTGATGCGGTGTACCTGTTCCGGAAGGTGTCCACCCAAGACGAGTGTCACAAATTCGTTCGGCCCTGGAAACCGGCGGTGGTGCTTGTACGAACAGGTGAGCTGAATTAACCACATTCAGCTATGCGGCGGCAGGCGCAGGAAACCGGTGGTTCATCACAATCGGTTGCAGCCGCGTAACGATAACGCTGCGGAGCAACAGCCGCCGTCGGCAACACCAACACACCCGCCTGCGCCGGCCGCGGAGCCGCACAGCCAGACGGCACAGTCACAGTGTTAGGTGCCGACTCAAGCAGTCGCACCCGACCGGCCGTACCGATGTCCACAGACGGACAACAGACAGCTGTACCGGCTGAACCAGCAGCACCATTTTTGTGTCTGCCAGTGACGTAGGGGACTACTGACGTGGATGGGTGTCCACCCCAGGAGGCTGAGAGGCCGCGAATCTCGCTCCAGCCCAAGGCCGCGGCTGCGAATCAGTCGGCAGAGGCCAAAACTGCGAATCCCACACCAGCCCAGGCCGCGGCTGAACCGCCTGACAATCCGGCAAGAGCAGCGATGCCGACCTCGTGCCCTTTCCCGGCGCGCCCCGTGCGGCGACCGCGGGGGCCAGGAGAGGGGGGGTAACAAAGTAGAAGACTCGGAGAGCCGCCGGCGCGAGGACCGACGCGCCGGCGGGACGGACTGCGTGAAGAGAGAGAGAGAGAGCGAGAGAGAGAGAGAGAGAGAGAGAGAGAGAGAGAGAGAGAGAGAGAGAGAGAGAGAGAGAGAGAGAGAGAGAGAGAGAGAGAGAGAGAGAGAGAGAGAGAGAGAGAGAGAGAGAGAGAGAGAGAGAGAGAGAGAGAGAGAGAGGGGGACACACACACACACACGCACACACACACACACACACACACACACACACACACACACTTGTGGACGTGGTGTTTGGTAATGGAGAAGGCGAGCGAAATAATCTTTCAGAATGTTTAAAGAAGCCTGCTGAGAGAGTTCCCGCAGAGACAGCGACAGCAAAAGACTGACGGGCCGGGATTCGCGCGGGAACCGCAACGCAGGGCAAGCAGACCCCCCCCCCCTCCCCCACCTCCATCGTTTTTCATTCGCTTG